AGTGCAAAATCAGAAAGGGGCGAAAGTGTCCATTAAAGTGGAACTCTTCATTATTGATGTTCCGATGAACTTATATATCATCAAATTTTGCATTGGTAATTATATTTTTGTCGAAAACTAATAGTTTTTTAATTGAAAAAGTTTTATATTGTAATATGTGCAAAATCAGAAAGGGGCGAAAAGTGTCCATTAAAGTGGAACTCTTCATTATTGATGTTCCGATGAACTTATATATCATCAAATTTTACACATTTTATTTTAAAATATTTGAACACTAGAAATTAATTCCAGTAGTTAATTCAATTGAATAATGAATATCGGTCACGATGTTCGTACTTATTTCGGTTTAATTACACCTTAAGTCTAGCCTATAGGTTCTATGAACGACTCTCTACTGACTCAATACTTCAATGATAAAATGTTGTAATTTTTTTTTTGAAAGAAACAAAATATTTTCATTTAAAAAAAAAAATTAACTAATAGATTATATTAATTAATGTTCTATTCAACAAATACAAAAATCCGCAAGGGGCGAAATAAGTCCATTAAAGTGGAACTCTTCATTTTTTTTATGTGTTCCGATGAACTTATATTTCATCGTTTTTTGATTTGTTGATTATTATTTACTCATGTAATTAATTCATAAATGCGAAATCAATAAAAAAATGAAAAGTGTTCATTTAAAGTAGAATTCTTTATTCTGTTTAATTTTATATTTACCTATGAGGAATATCAAGTCCACCATCAACAGCACCTTTTAATGCACCAAAAACTTTGGCACCTGTTGTTGTACGTGCTAGACCAACATCAAGATAACATCGAAATGGACGCTTTTGACCTTCAACTGGTTCATTTTCGAATGAATCACCTGTTATATCAGTTGTTCCTTTGTATACATCATCAAGTTTATGTTTTTGTAATGTACGTCGTGCCAATAATAAACCGGTACAATAAGCAGCTGCATAATTTGTCAAACCAAGTTTAACACCATATCGTGGTAATTCACGAGCGTATGCTGATGATACAACATAATCACCTTCGATACGTGCATAAACAATCTAAATAAATAAATAATTTTAAAACATTAAAAAAAAATTCTTTTTTCATACTTGACAGATAATATCTTTGTTTGTAAATCGAACAACAAGTCGATATTTTGGTGTATTATATTTATTTTTATCTTGATGAATAAGTGCGCGACGTGCGTAAAAATCAGTTTTACCCTCTAGAATTTTAAATAATATTAAACAAAAAACAACAACAACAATAAATATTTACGTCGACGTCGTTTGGATTTTACTTGATATCTTTTAAAATAAGCTTTATTTTTAACAACTTTGACAAAAGCCTAAGAAGAAATAGAAATGTTCAAAAAGATAAAAACTAACATAAAAAAAGAAAAAAAAATTACCATTGTAAATTTAGATGGACGATCGCTGGTAAATTTTATAAGCAAAAGAAACAAACAAACAATAGGTAGACGATTACCCCCGTTTGGCGACCTCCACGAAGGCGTTATTTAACATAACTAAAACAACCAATCATCAGTATTTAAATGGTTAATGCATTTTCGAAAGAGAAGGATAGTAAATGAAGTTAGATTGGTTCTTTTCATTGGATTCTTAATTTGTCAATATGTCTACGATGATTTCAGGTAGAATAAAAAGAAACTTTGATTTTATTTAAAAAATAAATAGCGAATAATTTTTTATTTGTATTAGATATTGAAAGAATCAATCATTTCGAATGGCGTTTAAAACGTTTAGAAGATTTTATTGGAAAATCAGATAAAAAAAATGTATGGTATAAAATATTCATTAATAGTTTCTTATGATTTAAAAATTTAGATTATTGAAATAATCAATGATCTCAATGAGAAGATTATTGAACATGCAAGCAATATGGCTAATGCAAACATATTAATAAAAAAAGGTAAATTTAATAAGAAAGTTTTCACTCTGTCATGATCATCTAGAGTCCGCTCGGATCCTAGCCAGCTTCATCATACTATTATAAGTACACAATATTAGGCAAAATCGCTCATCTTCTAGATAAACTCTACTAAAGACTAGTAGATTATGCTGATAATATTCACCGCCTACGCTCGGATATTATTTTACGTGAATACATCAAATTTCAGTAAAACGGTTATAACCGGGTTTCAAACGCTTATGAGCACGAACCTTTTGAGAAATTTTTTTAGTCTTATCAAGACCTTCTTGTGAGCTCAAACGGTGGGTATCGGTTTTGATAGTTCCCTTGTTAGTAGAGTAGATTGATAGCATCAGTCAATTATACGTATTATCCATTTCAAAAAAGAATGGACTCGATTGTTTGTTGAATAACTCAGCAACACTGATGGCTATCGAGCTCGAATTTTCACCATTAGAAAGAGCATGAGTAGAGGTACAATTATACCTGAGAATCAAAATACTTGAAAAGTTTTCTAGGGAGTTCCAGGGATTTTTTTGGAAAATCACTCTCAGATTTGCTTGATTAGATGTACGTTGAAGTGAAATTGAAAAATCCAATATCTCGAGAAACAAACATCCTTTTTGGCTAAAACGTTTAGGATATTCTATGAATCATTAGAGTTATCTAAAGCCAAATTTCCAGGTCGAAAACGCCTAAAAATTTCTGGGTTTATAAAGTAGACATTAGTCTACAATATACCTAAATTGAAAATATAGCTAATCAAGCAAATCAGACAGTGATTTTTCAAAAACTCCTTGGAATTCCCTAGAAAACTTTTCAAGTATTTTGATTCTCAGGTAGACTTGCACCTCTACTCATGCTCTTTCTTATGGTGAAAATCCGAGCTCGATAGTTATCAGCATTGCTGAGTTATTCAACAAACAACCAAGTTCATTCTTTTTTTTGAAACGGATAATAGCTCAAACATATCTAACAATTTATTTTTTTCAGGTGTCTTATCGATATGAATCTTTTACAAGTGTTTCATTATGAATTACTAATGTAATGAGACATTCTAAAACAGGTTTTGTCTATAGCTGCTTGTCGATAAATACTGAAATTCTATGCGAGTTCAACTTTTGGAATTCAACGCCAATCCAAAACTCTTATTCATTTATATAGTTATTTTCTTCGAACATTAGTTATTCAATAGAAACTACAATCTATTTGAAGATACAGCATATGTATCAAAATGGCATGCAGAAGATTTCATTAGTTGTAAAACAATATACCAGAATTTATTTTTCTTGCATACAGTATAAGTAAACTCTTCAAAACTTACATTAATTATTGAATCAGCATAATACTATGCGCTTGTAAACAGGCGCAAAAAAGAAGTACACAGAGAGCGATACATTATGTTAGGAAAATAAGCTCAACACTTTTCAAAGTTCCATCCGCATCGTTCGTGAATCTAGTCGGATTGCAGAACTCTAGTAAACACTTGTCAATATCTTAAACATATTTCTCTGAATACTACTACACCTCATAAGATAAAAACTAAGGTCTCAAATACACTACGCAGATGAAAAGTGAATAGAGAAATGTGATTGATATTTTCATGTAGCAACACTAATCACATTTCTTGATTCGAGTAATATGTTTAAGGTTGAGCCCGTCGAGTCTGGGTTCGAAAACTTTGGATCCGACGAGCTTTAGCTTCAGTCCTAAGTCTTATTTTATCCACTAAATGATCAAGAAAAAGAGGTTCTGTTAAAATATGAACACAAAACTGTTGAATTTAATTCTCATTTTTATATATAGCTGATATGATCAATCATTTAACAAGTTCGGATTTTCAACGTTATCTAATGAGAGATCGATCAACAAAACTTGAACTGATTCTTGCTGGTAAAAACAAAAAATTTGTTCGTTTTTTTTTTTACAAACTATTTATTAGATGACGAACGTATTCGTGATATAACAAAAAATCTCTCAGAAATTGATACATTAGCACGTGTACTTGATGGTGAATATTTTCAAGGTATATCAAATCTTTTAAATTTACTTTCACAATCAATATAAATTAATTATTTCGATTAGAAATACCAAAGTTATTCAATACACTGAGTAAATTATTAACTATTCATAATAATATCAAGGTTTGTATGATAAATACGAAGACGTTTAGATGTATTTTTCTTGTACTATCAATTTTTCATAGAATCAATATGGTGAATTTACTGAAGAGTTAAGCACTTTTTTACAAGATTATGCTGCATTTGTAAGAAATGACTTTTTTTTTCATTTGCTTAGTTTATCATTAAGTTTTTATTTAAATAGACTTTAATGATGGATGAAAATCTTCAACATTATAAAACAATTTTACATAAAAATCAACAAAGATCATCAATTATTGAAGATAATCCAATTGAATAAATATCGATCTTTTTTATCTGGTGCATTTTAATGAAGTCTCATACATATTGGTGTATATGTTATTCAAATTTTCTTTTTTTCTTAAACTGTTACTTTTTTCTTCTTGACATTATTTTCAAATGGTTTATTATGATCGGTGATAGGATATATTATTAAACAAAAAAAAAAAAAGAATCGGTGTTGTATTAATATTACTTCAAATAGATGATAATTTAGTTATCATTGTTGAATTTTATTATTTTCAAATTCAGCAAAATATATGAATAATTCATAAAGAATGAATTTTATCTTTTGAGAAGAAAAGAAAATAGTTTGACTAAAGAGAAAGAATATATAATAGTCAGACATGTATGTAATCGATAATAGGTTCCAATCAGAATGATAGTAATTAACAATTCTAAATTCAGTTTCTAATGAATTTCTCTTGAAAAACATTGTATTACTGTTCTGAACTAGTATAAAAAAAAACATTTAAGTGAATGCTTATAAACTATTCACATTCTTTTTACTTATCTATGACAAAACTCATACTTGAGAATTCAAATAATTTATATTGTAATGATTTTTCAACTTTTTTATTAGTAACACTATGTTTCGAATATATATATATTTTTTTGCAGATAATTTTAAAATACTCAAATCAATATTTACTCATTGACCAAGATCATCATCACATCAAATCATTTTATTTTATAAATACTTCAACGATCTTATTTTTAATTATATGAATCAATACAAACATTTTTAAATATTCAATCTAAATGATATAATTATATATCTGTATAAACATAGTAGTTTTATTCAAAAAGAAAAACAAAATTAAGATTATGCTATTTGACTTCTATTTTCATTAAACAATGTACAAACATTTGAACTCTTTTTAATGAACATATGGATCAAAAAATACACATACTAGAACTAGTTTTTGATAAAATAACAGTTGGACATTGTTTTGTACGTAATATTAGCATAGTTTGCGATATGAAATTTCTGACCATTTTATTAAATATGTTAAAAGTTTTAGTCGAACTGTATTACCCAGACATTTAAAATCAAATATAGAAAATAGTGATATGTATTTTGTAGTATGTAGAAAGTTCTAGTCATATATTTAACACTTGAATAAAATTGACTGGTTAGCGTCACTACATCGAATCAACTTATTTTAAACTATAGATCTAAAGAATATGTCAAAATTACATCGAAATGGAACACTATTTTCATGGATTTTTTTTGAATGTTTTGCGAATATGATGAACTTTAAAATAAGTTTGTCTTATATTGTATCAGATAAAAAGACATCCGACGTTCTCCTCTTTGTATTGTTGAAAACTGCAAAGTTGCTGACTGTCACCGTTGTCTAGTTATTGAGCTTATGTTCATCTCGTTTTAATTCTGGCACGCACACTAGTCCATAGATTGAACACATTTCCGTACTATAAGATTTCGAATCTACTTTTATGTCCAACCGTACAAAGGTCGTCTATGTAAAATTCATTCTTTCAAAAAAAAAAAAAAAGTTTATTATTTACCCAGATTCTTCGGAGATAACGGTGACTTACATAAAAAAGAGCGCAAGATTCTTTTTGTACTGGAACATTAACTAATTGAATAGACTTTCTTCTCCGCTCAGTATATGAAACATGTTAGACTAAATTAACTTTTTTTTATTTATTTATAGGAAAATTTTATCAATCTATTAATGGTACGATAATGATTATCATCATCTAGATGTGATTATCGATAAATAAATTAAGTTGTTCTTTTTTTATTTTCTATTATTTGCTTATAGTCATTTATTAATACAATATAGACAAATATATTATTTAATACAATTCATATTTATTATCGAGTAGATAAATTAAAAGTAATTTGTTTTTTTTTTAGAGAATAATTACATAATAAAATGAATTATTATTACGATCTATTTTTATAACATAATCCATTGTTTACAGAAAAGATATTTATTATCGGATATAGTATTAATAAATAAGATCTTAGTTTAAGTTTAGTTATACTCTATGATATATTTAGTAGCTAAATATTCTATATCAAAAGTAATATATATTCATTTATCAATATATTATAAATAATAAAAATTTTTACTGATATATATTTTTTTTTCTATTATGTTTATTCAAATATAGAAAACGACCTCTGTCAAAATAGATCTTTTTCTCGAAAGTTTGCCTATTGTTTTATTTTTAGCTGTATACAATTAGATTTTATTTAGTCAATACGTAAAGTATTATAAAATATATTTCATCTTGTATACATTTAAGAAGAATTTTTGTTTTTTTGTTTTCATAGTATGATTCAATAGCTTAATAACCTTGAACAAGAATAGACATAGAAATATTTAGTATTTTAAAAATTATACTGACATCTATTATGGATTTTACCATATTTAAAATGATGAAGAAAGTAATTATTTATATTAAAATACATTCTAAATCAACATAATATCAGGTTATTTCTTTCATTCATTGTTCTGAAAATAGACATTTATAGTTCTTAACAAAAGTAGCTACACTTCTATGAAGTGTTACTATTCTTTATAATATTGATCTAATATTTTAAGTGCATACATGGGAGAATAAATCATGATCGCAAGCATCGATCCGTCTTTGATCGGTTCACCTGTACTGAAGTTATGATTCGCATGTCAGTTTTCCCTTAAAGAAAAAACATATTCAACGAAAGTATGCACTCACCAAGTTTTTGTTTGTCATTTTTTTTGCTAGTGTTGAAGGTACTCTCATATGTCTACTTTATTATCATGAAAGTCCGTGATATATAAGCCAGATCTTATTATTTAGCACGCTCTGAGATAGTGAATCTATGTCGTAGGACTAATTCAACTTGATTCAATGATGTGATTCTAAAACTTTAAGAATAGATTTGTCATTGCATGAGAATTGAGCAAAGTCATCATGGAAAAGATCTATCTTACTAATGATAGGATTTATTCTTTAACAAACATTCTTAATGAGAAGAAGACTAAGATGATGTCTAAATCATAACTTCAGTACATGTAAATCGATGGAGGACGGATTTGTGCTTACGATTAAAGTTTATTGTTGAATGCATATACCTAAAATATCAGCTCAATACGATAAAGAAAAGTAGCATAACAGAGGGAGCCGCTAGTTTTAGTTGCAAGGACAAATTCATCTACTGAAATAAGTTCGAAATATTCTATACTTACTGATGTCTATTCTGAATAATAACGAAAAATTTCAAAGTATAATTAATTGTTTATTTATTTGTCTTGGTTAATACAAAAATATTCATTCAACTGTATTTAACATAAAATTTTGTTTTTCAATCATAATATCTATGTTTTCTATTGCTAAGATAAAATAATTCAAATTTATATTTTCTAGATGTAAATATGTTTTCAAGTAAAACAATTTATTTATTAAATATTTCAATTAGAAAATTTTCTAATTATTCATTAATTCGATTTGCATCATGGAATACAAATAATAAGTAAGAATAAATATTATTTGATTATTAGATTAAAAATTGTTCTAGATATTTTTTGTTTGTTGCCGTAATATAAACTATTAATGAACATTGCTTATTAAAATATCTCTCATGAATTCTCTTTTTTTGATCATATATAGTTTCACTCTCGATAGAATATAGGATTAGCATATCAAATAATAGATTCAGTTTAATCATAATTCGTACTCAGTAATGTCACGAGGACCTTTTTTTGAGAGCAAAAAAAAGTAGTTCAAGTTTGACTGAATGTACAGTAAAACCCTTCTATTATGAATATCGATTGTTAAAAAAAAACGTTCATTGTACGGAAGTGGGTACTTTAGAGAGTTAAAGCATGATTTACTGTAACATAAAGAAACGCTTTCAGCACATCTATGTCTTAAATAAAGATCTAATAATTTATTCTCTTGTTCATCTTATTTCATATATATGATTTTAAATTGAAAGTTTTTGTGAAATACGATCTAGAAGGAATGTTAAAGTATAGGGGTAAAAAATTTGGATACTTCTAAAGATCGTGACAGGCGTTGTAGATATATAGAAGAATACTTCTGACTTTTAACTACCATACAGTACGAGGTACTGCCTAGCAGCAAATTTAATAGTCCAATATCTTCTCTACAGCTATGGTTAGCTGTAGCTTGGAATCTGACGCAAAATTCTTGAGCTTCTCATACACACTAACTAACCGCAAGAGCAGATATATGTCATAGCATAGGCAGTATACGAGCGAACCGTCAGCGACTTGTTCAGAATCACTTGATGACTAATGGTATTGAGGTTTGCACACAGTACTTTATGGATACATGTTGAACAACTTAGCCATTCGGTGCCATAGCGGTTTTCGTTGGTATACGATCAAAGACCATATATGAATAACATCTCATTTTAATATATGAACTACTTCCTCATTGCGTTTCTAGAGAAGGACGATGACGAAATGTGTCTTAAAATAGATAGAATAAAGCAATCTTTCTGTGATGAGTAACAACAGTTATATCGTTTTTCACATTTTAATGCCGTAGGGATTGTGTTAAGAGCTTTTTCAATTAGAATACAAGATTTTATGCTTTTGCTTTTGAATTAATCTCGATGTCAATTAACGAGTAGAGCAAATTGAATGTAATATTATCACATTCTTTTTTTGTTTGAGTCATTCTGACACATTTTTAGAAAGTTATAAGATAGAGAATTTTTGTGCTTTCTGTTTCTATGATTTTTTTTTTTATCAAAGTTTCTGATGTTATCGTTCATGAGAATAAACGCCTACTGATATTTTTATACAGATGTTTTCCCAAGCGAGACTTAGTGTATGAAATAATCATTCTCATCTTGTTGCATATGGAATTTAATTTTGAACAAAATATTGTGAACTGTTGAGTTGAAAAGTACAAACAATTAGATTGAATCAAAATAGATAAGTACAATCACGTAATCCTTTCAAATAAGCCTTTTTCTAGCTTGTAACTCATGATTATTTTCGCAAACACTTACTTGAAAAACAAACGTAACAGTTTTGTCGAACGAAAAATTCACTATTGAATAACTATATCGTTAGTTCTGATTCTAATCCAATAATTAATTCAGTGTACTTAACTATAGTACACAAAAGACAGATAATAGATAGTTGAATGAGGTCAAAAAAACATTGCATATATATTTACATTAGAGAGAGAGGCATTTACAGCAAAGATGGATTCGTCGGATCTGAAACCATTCATAATTAGGAGGTATTTACTAGTAGAGATTTTATTGTAAGACAAAATTTGATGCTGTACAAAAAAAAAGTTCTTGCTATTGTTTTTCTGAATATTTGCTTTTTTTTGATTTATTATAGACTCCATGAAGTTGGTCTGTTTACAGCTGTAAAACAAGAAGGCAATTATGAAACAGGTCAGGTACGTTATACAAATGGTGAATGAATAGATGTCAAATATATATATATTAGAACTTGAAAGAGCACGTCTATATGTTCATTAAAAAACATTTGTTATGATTTACAAGTCTTTCTGTACAATAAATAATACAACTAATTTCGATGTATACAATAGAACAAAAAACAAAAAAAAAGCCTAAATTTGAAATCATTTTTTTGTGCATCTCTGTGGTTCTATCACAGAGTTCTAATCTACACTGTGAAAATAAAAGAAAAAAAAAATTAATAGTAGATACTATGAAAATGAACAACATAAAGTTGGTTTATGTGATTGATCATTTAAGTGTACAAGATTACTTAATGTTTTTGATGGACTTTCTCCATTTGATAGTGTTGAATCAAATTGTTGTAGAAGTGCTTGTGCAATTGCTTTAAAACAAAATTCAACATTTAAACCAGTTTTAGCTGATGTTTCCATATGTGTAACATCATATTCACTTGCTAATTTTTCACCCATTTCACGTGTTACCACACGTTCAGTTGTTTTATCAACTTTATTAGCTATTAACATAACAATCACATCGGAATGAGCATATTCATGTATGTCACTTAACCAAACACGAACATTATTAAAACTAGTTATAGATGTTACATCGTAGAGTAATAGTAAAGCATTGGCATCACGATAATAAGAATGAGTAACAGAACGAAAACGTTCTTGGCCAGCCTTTCAAAAAAAAACAAAAGAAAGATTAATAAGTTTTATCATTGACATGACAGTTATATCTTCTATTTGTAATAAAATAAATTAAGTCATTGTATTTGAGAACTCAACAGTGTGTAATCTGTAAGACAAAAGTTGTGCTTTCTTTTTTTGCCTAAAGCTCGTTATACATCTTACAGACTGATTTTGGCAGTAAACGTGTTATTTGCATCTTTTTTATTCACTGTACATTTATTAAATATTGATTGTTGAAAAAAAAATATTTTATTTTATCATAATATGAGACCAATCTATTTTCTATGGATATCTTTTCAACTTTGTTAGTCAAATACAAATAGTAATCTAATACATCTATAAATTCTAATCATTGATTTAGTTTTAATAAATTTTCTCTTGATAGTCAATTTATATTTCTTCAATATATTTGAAGTAGTATTTAGACAAAAAAAAAAGAAAAAGAAACAAAAATCAATATTTAATAAATGTCTTAGAGTTATTTTCTTTTTGATATAATAAATATAACGATGAATAATCTTTTAATCTGTTTATTTTATAAATACTACTCAGAAATATTTTTCAAGAATATTTATTCTTGCATTTTTCTTTCTTCAAAAAGAATCATTAAAAAAAAAAGCAAAAAAAAATAATCCTTTTTTTTTTATTTCCGTTCGCAATGCAAGCGAAGAAAAAATAATAATAATAATAATAATAAATCTATGATTTAAACAGTTTTTCTTTTCTCATAACTAACAAATACAAAAATAAAGATTTTCTTTATACATACTGTATCATAAATCTGTAATTTAACTTGTTTATCATTAATTAGAATAGTTTTATTACGGAAGTCAATGCCAACTGTTGCAATAAAACTTCCCGATAAAAATGTATCGTCTTTAAAACGTACTAATAAACATGTTTTACCAACACCACTATCTCCAAGTAACATGACCTACAAAAAAAAAAAAAAACCATAAAATACAATTAATTTCTGTTAGTTAGCATTATGAAATTTAATTATATGTTTCTATAGTTAAGAATTTATTTATGTAGAAATTCTACTTACTTTAAATGTACTCTGCTGTGTATTATTTTGATTATTGTTCGTTGTTGGAGGTGGACGGTTCATATCTTTATCTGAATTTGTTCTTTTATAAATCTAAAATTTTTTGAATATTTATTCATTTATTTCATATGTGACGATTAAGTCTATATTTATGATCAATTAAGCTTACAAAATCGACACTTAATTGTGTTTCCATAGAGTACGTCATGGACGTATTCTGTATTTAACAACCTCATTTGTATTTTTTTTTTCTTCGTTCTCTTTTTCTTCTTAACATCTACCTGTCGAGCAACAGTTACTAGCACAGACTTATTTCAACCTATAGACGCCTATAAGCAACAGTTTGTTAAAGTATTGCTTTCTCGATATAATATTCTATGTTATTAACTCTTCGCTTTTCCTCTTACATATACAAAAAAAGAAAAGGAATAAGAAAAGCAATAACAATGTCTATGAGCTAGATTCACATTTGATTAGGAAATGACAAAATCGCGCGACAGATATTTCTTTCTTTCTTTTTTTTTTTTTTTTTTTTTTTTTTTTGTTCTGTCATCATTTTATTGCGTGACTGTTCTTACAATATCACAATTGTTTCTTCTGTATATATATATTACAACACGAACAAAAACTAGAAAGAAAAAACTTGAGAAGTTACTTCTTTGATTTATTCACACTTACTTATTCTTTCTTTTTTTTCTTTTTATATACTATACGTGCTCAGATGAGCAAAACCAAGAGAGACGGCGTAGCAAACGAACAACAGTAGACGAAGCGTGAAAACAACATGTATGCGTCGTACGAGCATAAGCATAGGGCAAAAAAAGGAAACGACGACGAAGAAGAAAAAAGAAAGCAAAAAAAAAAAAGAGAAGGAAATAATCGTTTTCCAGATCTACTGTTCTTAGATGAAATAACTTGGTTTTTTGTTGCTTCTTTTGTTTCGTCTATTAAATTATTACAAAACAATAATTAAGATGACATCTTACCTCAATATATAGGATGTTAGTTTTCAATAATCATTTTTTACTTCCATATTATGAGTATTCATTAAATAATTGAGCGATATTGAAATTTATATTGCTGAAATAAATCGATAGATTATATGGAATGGTACGGCTCAATGAAATGCCAAACAGATGAACAACACACCAAGTAGAGATGAAGACGAGTGTCGAACCAAATGAGAATAGAGAGCAAGCAGCGGACGAGAGGGATGAGAAATATAAAAAAAAACGGAGACTTCCTGTCGGCAAGCTCTGCTGATAGTATTTTTCTTCTCTTTTTCTACCGCCACTATTACCGTTTCTGTTCTGGTATAACAAATGCATTATAACAAATCGAATGATTCTTTCTCTCTCTCTTGTTTTTGTCCTAAATAACTCTTTGCATACATATATAGACAAACTACTCGAGTAATTATCAAATTGACTCGTTTTCCCTAAGTAGATTTTTTTTCAATTTTTAACGTATATTGCATCAACAAGACTAATTCAATTAATAATTTTAAAATAAGTTAATCGATAATATTCTCATCGGCTTACAAATAATTATGTACAAAACAACAAAAAAAAACTTTTTTTAAGTAATTTAATGCAGATAATGAATTACAAAAAAGCTTCTTTTTTTATTGCTATTCATAGATGCAATAGGACAATAATAATGAATAAAAAAAAAAAAAGCTTATAGTACTAAACCAAGCATTAAGTGTTATTATGAAAAGATGAATTCATGTTAGCTATCCTGTGGGAACATATTATTTCCCAAAGTTTATTCTCATAGAAACGAGAATAAGAATTCTCATAAAGAAGATTTCGGAAACGAGAACAAGAAAACAAAAATGGAAATAACATTAAATATTGCCGTTCCGGAAAACTTGTCGTTTTCTTATATACATTATAATTTGTTTATGTAACAATTTTTTTAGTTTTTTTTACATAATTACTTCACTATACGTCCAATTAGATTATTTTTGAAGTCATATTATATTGCGTAAAAATGTATAACAATTATAGTTTCTTTCAAAAAAAAAAAAAAAAAATTTCGAAAGTCTTATGGGAATAGGAAACGGAAACGGAAATCAAGAAAAATCGTTCCCATAGGACATAAATTCGTGCGTGTTATTTTATTTCTTTTTCTTTTCTCTATTATCATTTAGTTATTTCTTCATCGAGTATTTGGATATCGAGGTGTAATATTATTTCCTTGGCTTGCAAGAGTATTTGATCGATGTGATGGACGTTCAAATACATTACCACCATTAATAAGATCAACAAAACCATCACAATCAAATATACATGAAATTCGTGCTAAATCAGTTACTTATTATCAAGTTTTAATTGATACACGAGATATGCCTCATATTCGAGCTCAAACAGGTTTTAATTTATTTTGTTATTTATACAAAACAAAACAAAAAAAGAATTTCATTGAAAAATATAAATATTTTTAGAAGCTGTTACATTTTTGGGTAATCAAGAACGTGATCGAAATCTTTATGCTATACCAGGTCTTGATTATGTTGCACATGAAGATGTTATACCATACACAGTAATTTATTTATTTTTTTTCTATTTTATTTTCGTCGATCAAAAGGTTTAACCGACTAGATACAACTAAAAATAGAAAGTAATTCTATTACAAGAGGCTTTTTTTTTTACCGATAAAGACGAAACTATATATAATTAAAAGTGAAATGAAGACAACTTAATGTTTAATATGATTTATCGATATTTATCATACGAGAATGAATAATTGATCGTCATAAGTTTGAAAAATAGTTAATCATGAATAATTTTACGGTTTATTTACTCTGACTATTATTGTCAGAGGTCTGTAGGGATTTTAGATGATATATATGCTATTGAAAATCTATGAGTTTGTTATCAGATCAGTTGATATTATTAGTAAGGATAATTCTTATTCATTATAATATAAATGATACAATGATAATATAGAAAGTACTTCTTTGATATATATTTCTTTGAAAATAAAACAATATTTTGAATTATAATTTAAAATTTCTTCAACTATAGAATAGTCTTCAAAATATTTGACAAATTCTAAATAGATCTAAAGTTAAATATAGATATTATTATTTTGTGTAACTATAAATTAGATTATAAAAACAAAAATATTTTAGAGTACAGAACGAACACCAATTGAACATGAATTATTTGATAAATTTTTATTACATGATTCTGAAGCAAGTATGAAAATATTTATTTCAAAATATTTCATTATTATAATTCATAACATATATTATATTTAAGCTCCAAATTTTGTACCACGTGAATATTTAAAATCTTGGCAAGAACGACATCATCATTGGCTTGAATTATCTGATGTAGCAAAAGATGTTACTCATCAAATACGAGTTACTGTTATTCCATTTTATATGTAAAAAAAGAAAAAAAATATCTTATCTCTTTTTTTTATTTACTTATATCAATACATTTTATTTTATTAATTAGGGGATCTCGTTCAGCTCAAGGTGTAAGTGTTCATTGGTGGCGTTATTCAATTCGTATTGAAAATTTAAATCCCGATGAACCAGTTACATTACGTGAACGTCATTGGCGTATATTTAGTTTATCAGGTACATTAGAAACTGTACGTGGTAAAGGTGTTGTTGGACATGAACCAAGATTATCAAAAGAATATCCAGCTTTTCAATATTCATCTCATATATCATTATCAGCACCTAGTGGTCATATGTGGGGGTAAGAAATTTCTTATTAAAAAGAATTATTTTGATTGTTTTGTTGGTTTCTTTTTTTTGAAGTACATTTAAAATGGAAAAAGATGATGGAACATTTATTGAAGTTCGAATACCACCTTTTAATCTTGAATGTAAATCTGAACCAACTGATAACAAAACATCGATATAGTTTCTTTTTTTTGTGCATCTATGTGTGTTATTATTTTAAATATATACCAATAAAAAAAAAGAAATGAAATGTTCGTGCCTTCGGTTTTTTTTTATATAAAATCAATATGTTATCCTAAGCATAATTCTTTCAGATCTGATGATATTCAAGTCTCTTTATCAGTCTAAATTCATATATCGTCAATTTCATACAAGTTCACCAAGACATATTCATCCATTGATATGGGTTTTTCTTAAACCAGCACTTAAAGGTGTTGCTTGGATAACTGGCAGGTAATAAAATAATATATGATATTGATTTGTATGAAAGAAAAATAAAAAGATATTTACATTTTTTTTTTCTAAAAAAGATCAACAAGAAAATGGTATCGACAATTACCACCAGAAAAACGATCAGTTTTTGCTGAACATCTTAATCGACATAAATATAAATATATTGGAATATTTGGAACAATAGGAACTGCTTGTGCTGTAGGATTTTTCTATTTATTTATTGGAATATTTATATTCAAAAATTTTTATCTATAGATTCATTATTATACTCATCTTGAAACATCACCTATAACTGGACGAAGACGTTTTATGATGATGAATGCTGAACATTTAACATTAATGTCCGACATGGAAAAAGAAAAGGTTCAGTTTTTCTTTTGTCTTTGTCTTTAAAAAGATGAGACATATGACGGATCAAATTTTCTTCGTATCGTGACTGAGAAAAATTTTCTTACTCTATCCTGTAGGATTTCCGTTCTCACTTTATTCTGTGAAGTTTTTATCGTATTCTACCGTAATCCTATTCGAATTAGAAGATTCCAAAAGCGATAAATAGTATTACATGAGAGATGTGCAGAGTAAGATTTTTTTGTGCCATGCACCCTGACTAAAAGAAATTTTCTAAACCTTTATCCTATCCTACAGTGTTTTCTCTTCCGGATGGATGTTTTAAAATTCCGGAATCGCAAACCGGATGTTTGGAGAGAGGTATGCCATGTCCTTAGCCTTCACGCTAAATAAAACATTGCTACTCTATCCTGCACATCTCAAAAAAGACTAGACCATGATATGACAACGAGAAGATAAATTTTTCGTTTACAATTATATTTTGTAAAACACGAAAAATGATACAAGATATTAATATGAATAAAATCGCATATATATTATTTTATATTTGAGTTCTAACAGTGAATGTATGTATATTCAACTAGTCGTTCTATTATCACAAAAATTAATCAAACGAATAGACCTTTTCTTTTTCTCATTGTACATTGAATACAATGAAATTTAATGAGTAAAAAAGAAATATCCGAACAAAAAAATGTATACGTTTGATTTTATATTTAAAATCCATTGAAAAAAAAATATCATCAATTTGTAAGTTTATTAAAAATTTAGATTGCAAAAATGTTTTCTGATCAAATGTTCCCTGAACATAGTAAACAAACTCAACTTGTAGCTCGAGTAGCAAGACGAATAATTGGTGCTAATATGGATTTAGACAATATTAGAAATATAAAATGGACTGCTCGAGTTGTTGTAAGTTTTTGTTTTTGTTTTTTTAATATTATTTTACGTTTGATTTTTTTATTTAACACAAAATAGGATGTAGATATCAAAAATGGTAAGAACTGTTTATTTCAACAAAAAAAAGTCTAGAATTAATTATTTATTATTTTTTTTTTCCTGAAAGCATTTGTCTTACCGGTTTGTAAAATAACAAAAGGAAAGAAAATGATATTTGTATTGCTTATTTCTAGACCGGTGATATTTATGTTACTCGAGGACTACTTGAGACACTGTGAGTTTATGATCTTTTTTCGTTTTTTAATAAAATAATTTTAATTCATCTAGGATAAATGAAGATCAATTAGCAATTATTCTTGCTCATGAACTTTCACATGCACTTTTAGGTCATTCTGTATGATTAAAAATTTTTACAAACATATATTTATATTAGAATTTTTTCTAGGCAGAAAGATTATCTTATCTACAATTAATCGATATGTTTGGTATGTGTATGTCTACTATATAAACAGAGAATTCTTACCGTTTAATTAATTAATTAATTAATTTTAAATTCAAAATTACTAGTAAATAATTTGAACTATTACTATCTTTTCTATAGATGTCGGATATTTTGTTATGGTCAGTTTGTAATGGATTTTCAGTATATGTCTTCCGTAAAATACAATTAAGACAAGAAAACTAGATAGGCTAATAACTGATCTATTTAAAGACTTTATCGACATTGATTTCATCTCGGTTAAAAATATCTTATATGACATGTAATGTATCTGTTAACAAGATCTTTTCTTCTATAATTAAATGCAAGACAAATATCTACTTATTTTGAGTTTTGTCATGTTTAGATACGATCAGTACCTTTTGACTTCTTATATACGAGAGAAGTTACTCGACTGATTAATTGCTTTTGAATTGAAACTCATTGTACTATGTCGACTCAAATGAGTTTTAAATATTGTGAAAAAGAGTTTGACTATGGGGACTTTATAAGAGTCAGTAGTTCAGAAAAGTAAACTTGAAATTTCAAGGTGAAAAATCTTTAGTTTAGATCGAAATTAACTTCTAACACTTGATTAACTTTTCGTAAGTATAATAAATTCATTCAGCATGATCCGAGACTTTCATCATATGATGAGAAAGTGTTTAGCTCAATATTTAAAAAATACCCAATAAAAGATGTACCAGATTGTATCTAAATAAATCATTAAAATTTTTCATGGTATATATCAAAAGATAGAAGATTAAATGCTGAACAAAATAAGGTATATTCATATAATATAATGCCTAGCAATTCAAGTTTTATTAAGCCAATATGAATCAAAGAGATCCTTTTGATCAGTCCAAATCTAACAATGTATTTTCTGCTGTATTTCAGGATCAGAGGAATCTAAGCTGAATTTCACAGATCTTGTGCAACTTTTTTCCGATACAAAATGATAAAAACAATATCCGGTCGGTGCGAAACGGGCCCTACATTTCTGGCGATTTTTGAATAGAAAATGAAACATTTTTAGTGGTTTTCATTACCATAACACAATTCTAAAACAAAATAGATATGATATTCGAAATCAGCGTCAAAAACTGCATCTAATCATATATATTTCAGCGAAAAGTTGTTCCTGTTCAAAATTGATCTGTGGGGAACCAATGAGAAAATTTTTTTCAAAATACAGTCGTAGGAAGACCACAGGTCAGTTTTTGGTAGGAAAAAAAATTCAACGATATATATCTGATCCAATGTAGTTTTTGACGCTGACTACGAATATCGTATCTATCTTGCTTTAGAATTGTGTTATGGCAATGAAAACTGCTAAAAATGTTTCATTTTCTATTAAAAATCATCAAAAATTGCCAAAAATGTAAGACCTGTTTCGTACCGACTAGATATTGTTTTTATCATTTTGTACGGGAAAAAAGTTGCACAACATCTGTAAAATTCAGCTTGAATCTCTCTGATCCTGAAATACAGCAGGAAATACATTGTTGGGTTTGGACTGATCAAAAGGACTCCCTTTTGACTCATGTTGGCTTTATAAAACATGAGTTGCTAGAATGATTTATTTAGATACAAGCTGGCACATCTTTTATAGGGTATTTTTTCTTGTTTTTACTCAAAAAGTTGGTATTGGCTAATTTTTCAAAGGAAGGGTATTAGAACCTAAAATTTTGAGATTGATGGTTTTATACATTGATGCTTTAAATGAGCCGAAAAAGTAATTTTTTTTTATCGAGTGGTAGTAATAATACTCGATGGGCTCATGCAAACTCGTCAGCTTTAGTTTCTCCGAAAAGCCAATAGAAAAAAATCGGCTAGTTCAGTGGTTCCAAGTATGATCGTAGGGATGAATTTAATCAATTGATTTATCTTTTTCTAGCGATATTTGGAGCATATATTATCTGGTCTATCTTTCCGCGTGATTGGATTTCGTATGTTTAATATTAAATATCAATTCATTATAAATTTTTTATATTATTAAAGATTTGTAGTAAATTATATATTTGAAAATTTTATAACATTTACATCACGTTTACCTTATTCTCGACTATTGGAAGAAGAAGCTGATGAAGTTGGTCTTATGTTAGCAGCAAAAGTATATGAAAATATATTTTAAAAAATCAAACATCTTTCTTTTTTTTTAAATTCTTATTATTTTTTTAAGGCTTGTTTTGATGTTCGTGAAGCTGTTGCTTTATGGCGAGTAGTTCATGAAGCTGAAATGAATGCAGCACTCCCAGAATTTATTTCTACACATCCAGCAAGTGCTAAACGTGCTGAAACACTTAATGAAAAACTTCCTTGGGCACTTGATATACGCCGTCAATGTCATTGTTCTCCGTTACCAGAAAATAAACCACCAGTTAGCAAACTTAATATTTCAAATAATCCAAATGAAAAGGTATCAAGCTTTATTACATGTCCATAAAATTATATTTTATATTTATATAGGTAACGGGAATATTGGCTAAACCAATTGTTTCCGTTCATAATATTCCTGTGATTAACGTTAATAAAAAAGAATAATAATAATAAATTATTTTTTTACATACAATAGCTGGATAAGTGCGCCATCTATTATTTTTGAAATAAATTTAATGATTTGTAGAGAAAAAGATCAATCTTTTGTTTTGTTTTTTTTTGCCTCTTCTTTATAATTCTAAACATATGTTGGCTTTTTCCTGGTAATAGAAACATTTGACGAATTGGCACAAAAATGTTTTCAGATATCTAAATTAGATTATAATGTATTTCATTGAAATATTAATCAAAATGAAAATCATATTCATGAAAAATCATGAGAAATTTTAATACAGTTAAGCATCAATGTATTTCAACTTTTTGTAATCTTTTAAATAAATTGTTCTGAATTTGAACTGTAAGTAAGAAGATAAAATTGCTTGTGTTGTTGAAAAGAATAAATTTTTTCATCCTAGATTGAAAACGAACGATCGTAGGCAAGGAGAAGCAGTCAAATATGATAAATCAATCTAACAACATATGATTAACGTATACTTCACTGGTTCGTGAATTCAAATGCTCATCTCGATCAAGACTTTTATCTTTCAAGTCATATGGTCAGTAAAATAAGCCATGTTTTTATTTCAGTCTCGCTCCTCGGTCTGGACTTCCTCAGCTGTAAGCACTAGTAAAGATGATACTAATTTTTGAAAACTGTTGAATTTCGTAATAACAACATTTCGAACAAAAGAAAAAAAAAGATTTTAATCCGATCGGACGTATCGTGTATGAGAAAACTTCGGTTTTTTTTTGTTTGAAAAATTAATTTTGAGAATAACGAAAGTTACAAAGAATAACCGCAGAGCGAGTTCTCTTTTAATATCAAATTCAATGAATTACATTTGTTATAATTTACTAACTGACAGGGAGAGTAACATAGAGTCGAGCGATAATGATAAAGATAATATTATATTCTAAACGTTTCTCTGTATATGATGATAATTGATTCAGGTCAAATAAGCGCAGTTTTTCTGTCGTTTGGTAAGCGCATTATTATGACTGTGTTGTAAACAATCGGATACTCGATTTTCAGACTGTATACGGCACGATAAAATACTGCGTCTATCAAATGTCAACACACAAATGCAAATTGTATAAAATGATAGTTGACAGTCTTGCCGACTGTAATTAGCGTTCTGGGAAGGTCACGTATAGATTTGACGAAATATGGTCGTTCATAATATCATATACGACAATCATTATCATCGCCCTGGAATTGATCAAAAGGATGCAATAAGCATTTTTAAGTCTCGATTCGATATTAATATGAACTCATGTCGGAATTAGAGGATTCTAAGGCTTGAAAAAGAGTTTTATTTTGAAAATGAAGACTTCAATGCGTTTATTTTTTGTTACATAGCTACAGAACAATAAGTTCTACTGTTTGTTTTTTTTTTCTTAAGGTCTCCTTCCAATTTCTATTCAATCAACTAGCCGATAAAGAATTTTAATCATTATTAAAAATATATGTATCATCTACAAGTATTCAAATGAATAAAAATGCTGTTGAAATAAATACTAAAAATATTCAAAGGTAAATATAATGAATATTTGTAGTCTCTCTTTTTTGTTTTGTTATTGTTATATATGATAGAAATAAATAAATTTAATCTTATATTTCTTTTGTTAATTGTATTCATTTGTTTTGTCTTATAAAAACAAAAGAGGATAATAATGAGTTTCATATATATGTATATGTATAATAATAATTGTTATTTTTACATTGAAAAATAAGAAAATCTATAAATTGATTCTTGACAGCGATTTTGATATAAAATAGCATGAATGAGCATAACTTCACTGAAGTTAATTAAGATGTGTTATATATAATAGAAAACGTATCTGTCAAGAAGTTTAAATATAACAAAACGAAAGAATTGCATTGAATTTTCTTTTTCGTTTCATTATTGAAAATACAATATTGTGATTGAAACCTATAATGATATTTTTCATTTAGTCGAAATTACTGTACCAATTCGTTATAAATCATCGCTTAATGATAACAATTATCGTACTCATTTTTTAAATTATACATTTTCGTAAAGTAGAAATGAGTCAGTAGGTTTATCCGATTTTTTCGATTCTCGAAGGTAAAAATTCTCAGTAAGATCCCCTTAGAACAAAGTCAATTTTCATTACCTCATGCTTGAAATACATGCTTTTTTGATCGCACAACTCGGAATTCTTTATGAACTTTCATTCTATATATTTTATTTCTACTTTTGTTTGAAAGATCATGACAATATTCCTTTTTTGAATTAAGTTTCGTTACTATTATATTAAAAACAAAGCACTTCTATAAATAGAGGACAATTTTTTTGAGAGTTTTTCGAGATATTTAACTTGTCATCTTTTTTGTCCACATAATAAATAAGACAGAGATTGCATGTTGACATGCTCTTTCTAACAAAAGATAAAATATGTATATAAAATAAAGGCACACTGAGAATTTTGGATTACTAAATGAGACATTTTTAACTCTTATTTGTTGAATGTCTTTCTAAAACATCATGGTATAGGACTGCAAAATTTGCCATAGTTCTTTACTATAGCTCTAACAAATCCTGAAAATTTCATGCGATTTGAATATACCTGATCTAAGATTGATTTTTAAAGGGGACTTTAAAGATACTTTCCCCTCCTCTTTTTTTAATCATATCTAATTCTCGAAGAGAGTACAACTGATCAGATTGAAATTTTCGCTACAGATAGAGAATCTGGAATAAGGAGACACTTGTTTGAGGAGAAAAATTTTCAAGAAAGTTTTCCATAGGACCACATCCTAGTACATTACGAGTCGCATTAGCTTTATCCGATCCAACTGAAAATTTTTATTGAGACACCTCAGACTTATATTTGAGCATTTTTGAAAATCTTCGTTTTTTGTGAGAAATACATAAAGATGTGAAGCCAAAACCGAAGTGTTGACTTTCAGAATCCTATAAATCCAGGTAGGAATGTAAAAAACGACCGAGTTTATTTCTGGAGAATAGTTCACATTACGCTAAAGAGGGACCCCCATCTCCAGAACTAATACCTACTCTCTTCGAGCTTATATTGGGTCTACAGTTAGACTAGAAGAGCTCGCCTCCATGGGACTTTCGATTCGAATTATTGATCATTTTAGTGAATTTTTGATCCAACTTTAGATATATAGGGAAAAATAAAAGGACAAAATTCCGATCTGAAACTTCGCCTACAGATAGATCGAATGATTCTAAAAATATTCTGAGCGTTTCAGTCTAAAAGAATATTACTTTGTTGAGATATTAAATTTCTAAAACAAAAGTCGTTTGCTATAGACATGGTTCAAAAATCAAGTTTACTTAAAAATTCAATGTTTCGACAAAGGAACATTCATTTTGCTTGAAATGTTCAGGATAGTCTAAGGATCATTAGACTCATCTATGGACAAAATTGAGTAAAACAATCATAACTCCAGTGCATAGACCTATGCGAACGAATCCTTTTAGAAATATTCTATTCTCACCAGGACGGTTTTGTAAACTCAGTATGAGTTTAAACGGCGGGTATCACTTTGAATGGTTCTTCCCTAAGTAAAAGACAAGAACTTCAATATGATTACACTGGAAAAACAAATTTCCTAAATTGAGTAAGCTGTTTAGAGTCGAATGATGTCTCTAATTGCACATGACATTTGAGACTATCCTATCTTACACCTAGTTCAAAATCGTTTATTTTGATCTATATGATATTTTGATGCAATATTTGAATATGAAAATTTAGAGTAATTAGGAATTTTTCTCCCGTATGAAAGTCCTTTTTTTTTATTGTAAATTTCTATGAGATTTAAAATAAATATTTTCTTTTAGAGCGTCGATCAACGGTTGTTTGCTGTTCATATTCATCTTCTTGAAATTGGACGACGATCTATCTACGATTTGTATATATTTATTTGTCAATCATCTATGAACTTCTTTGATTTATTTAGTTTATTTTTGTGCAATGAAAAAAAAAAGAATAAGACTAAAAAAAAAGAAAACAAACAATTTTACTTTTCTTTTTTCTTTTATTCTCATTTCTGTTAGTGATAATACAATGTTTTGTTGCACTTATAGGTTTTTCTGTTTTTTCTAGTGTAAGTATTTATCGTCCGTATAACGATAAAGTCAATCAGATAGACAAATGAACAAACAAAAAAAAAACATACGAATATCAATTAATATATTCCTGAAATAATTTAATTGGTGTCTTCTTTCTTTTATGTTATTTAATAATTATAATTTTAGAAAATATTCACAAACAAGAAAAAAAAGAAAGTTCCATCTGATGATATTTTGGGTCAGGTAAAAAAAAACATATATCAATGATTCCAATTATTTATTCATTTAAGCGAGGATGTTTTTATAGAAATGTGATATTTTAGAGAAGAATGGACTTTTTTAGAATATGTTATGAGTCGCTTCTTTTTTTTTGATTATATTTGAATAATGAAAGACAACTTTTTTTCACGATAATGACTCTACCATTCGTAGAATGCACACGAGAACACTATCGAAGAAGAAGCTAACGAAGGAATCTCGTCAAGTATTAATCGCGGATTCGAAGGAAAGATATATCAGTCGATAGAGCTAGACGAGCTCGTCACGGTGGTAACAGACGTTTTTTCGCTATAGAGCTTTCTTATAGAATTTTCAAGTTATCTGTAGAGTGTCCGGAAAGTTACTCGAGATCGAAAAATTTGAATATCTCAATGGTGTTTGGATTAAACGAGTTGACTTTTTTTACTATTGATAGAGGAGTGTTCCTAGTCCATATTCATAAGAATAACGTAGACAAAAACTGTCTCAAAGTATCACTATTGATTTCAATAAAGAAATGTCTTCCTAGGCGGATTTCTAAAAAAAATTCCATTCACAATGTATTTTAAACGTTATCAGGAAGAATAAATTTGAATAAGTTCAACATATTTTAGCCAAAGTAGACTTATTTTTTTTTTGAAAATATAGAGGCATATTCCCAGTTTAATTCGTGTCAGGTAAAAT